CACAGTACCAGCAAAATAGGGTAAGGAATTACCTTTTCTTGGTATTGATAAAAACAAATAGCTGATGTGTACTGATTATTGAGGAGATACATGAATATATGACTTACAATTGCCTTTTTCTAATCTATTGTATTTATATTCATAGGCGCATGGGAACTTGGTGTGAGAAAGTGATCAGTTAATTGTGATTTTATTACTCTGGATAATTATACTAATATGTAATTAATATACAAGAAAATTTTCTTTGATTGTAGTGTTTATATTCTTTCTTTGATTCATTTTATTTACTTTCTCATGTTTGTTTTCATTTTTGTCTCTTGCCAGGGAAATGTTAGGAAGATTGTGATGCACAAAATCATGTTTACATACAATGGAGTGGTTTAATGATTTGGAGTCTCTTTTTTCAGCAACGTACCAGACTTCAGATATTATTATAGTTAATTTCTAGACGATGTATATTTAGGTTGTTACTTATTACCATTGATGTATTCCTTTTGAGTTGATGTATTGCTGATGGTGGTAAATTTCAACTTTTCTGGAGAAGAAGATATGTAATGACTATACTTTACCATTGAATATTAATTTTTTTTATTTGTACATTGAACATGTTATTATATGTATGTTTTGCATTTACCAATTGTAACTCAAAGTCTCTTAGTTAAAAAATATTGGTGTAGTTGTTATTACACATTAATGTAAAAAGTGTAAGGTATGACAATCAACTTAAAATACAGATGAAAATGTTAATTGATACGGAGTATATATTAATGTTGCAAAATGCAATTATAAATGTGTTACGTAAAAATAAAACTGGTGTTGCTTAAAGTCATATTAAAGTGTTGCATATTATAAAAAAAGTGTTGCGTGAGAGGCAAAGTTAGTTTTTGTAAAAAGTGTTGCATAGGGTTTGTTTTTGAAACATTTTTACTCAATGTTGCATAAAATGTTAAAAAGTGTTGCATATGACTTTATGCAACGAGACCTGAAGTAACACACATAAAAGTGTTGCTTTAGCTTTTCGTAACATTTTACTCATCTAATGTAACACTTTAGTGGTGTTACAAAAGGCTTGTTTTGTTGTAGTGTCTTAAGCATGGATACATGAAACACATTATGTATCTTCTCTAATTCAGGAGTCAACTGTAGACGATATGCCACGGCCCCAATCCTCTCTATAATTCTGAATGGACCTATGTATCGTGGGTTAAGCTTCCCTCGGGTTTGGAATCGAATGATTCCTTTCCAAGGAGAAACTTTCAAGAATACCTCGTCATCAACCTTAAACTCTAAGGTTCTTCGTCGCTTATTTGCATAACTCTTTTGTCTATCCTGAGCCGCTTTGAGTCTCTCTCGAATCAACTTTACCTTTGACTTGGTGATCTCAACCAACTTAGTACCCTCGAGTTTGGCCATGCCGACCTCGTCCCAGCATAACGGTGTACGACACCTCCTCCCATACAATGCTTCATATGGAGGCATGCCGACACTTGCCTTATAACTGTTGTTAAAGGCAAACTCCACGAGTGCTAAGTGGTTGTCCCAACTTCCTTGGAACTCTAACGCACAAGCCCTCAACATATCCTCTAAGATTTGTATAACCCTTTCAGACTGCCCATCCGTCTGTGGATGGAAAGCAGTACTGAACTTCAACCTCGTTCCCATAGACTCCTGGAATTTCGGCAAAAAACGTGATGTGAATCGTGGGTCTCTATCGGATACAATGGTCACTGGGACCCCATGCAGCCTCACGATCTCATCCGTATACAATTTGGCTAACCTCTCAAGTGGGTAGGTAGTGTTGATAGGCAAGAAGTGTGCACTCTTCGTGAGCCTATCTACAACGACCCAAACTGCATCATAGTTCCTGATTGTCCGTGGTAAACCCACCACGAAATCCATAGTCACGTGTTCCCACTTCCATTCAGGAATGGAAAGTGGTTGCAATAAGCCTGCTGGATGCTGATGTTCCGCCTTAACTTGTTGACAAGTAAGGCATCGACTGATGTATTCGGCTATTCCCCTCTTCATTCCAGACCACCAGTAACTTTCTTTCAAATCTCGGTACATTTTCGTGCCCCCTGGGTGCATGGCATAAGCCGATGAATGAGCCTCCTCCAAGATGGACTTACGGAGCTCCTCATCTGACGGTACACACACTCGGTCACGAAATAACAAGAGACCATCATCTCTTTCCCTGAAATCCTCCACCGGCCCCGCTTGCATGCGTTCCCGGACCTTCATATGTTCTGCGTCAGTCTCTTGACTCTTCTTGATCTCATCAAGTAAGGTCGGTCTCACTTCGAACCGTGCCAATAAGGCACCGTCGCTAGATACATCCAATTGGGCCCTCAGTGCCCTCAAACTAGTCAACAATGCCCCAGACGAACTCTTCCGACTGAGGGCATCTGCTACAACGTTTGCCTTACCTGGATGGTACTCAATAACTAGATGGTAGTCCTTTATCAACTCCATCCACCGTCTCTGTCTCATGTTTAACTCTTTTTGAGTAAACACGTACTTCAAGCTCTTATGATCAGTATATATGTGGCATGTCTCTCCGTAGAGATAATGTCTCCAAATCTTCAGTGCAAACACTACTGCTCCCAGCTCCAGATCATGGGTAGGATAATTTACCTCATGCTTCTTCAACTGTCGCGAAGCATAGGCAATTACCCTCCCCTCCTACATCAACACACACCCAAACCCTTGGATGCTCGCGTCACTATAGACATCGTACCCCACACCCTGTTTGGGTAATGCAAGTACCGGTGACTCGGTCAATCTCTTCTTCGGTTCGATGAATCCTTTCTCACATTTGTCATCCCATATAAACTTAGCTCCCTTTCGAGTAAGCTTCGTCAACGGCGACGCCAAAACAGAGAACTTTTCCACGAACTTTCTATAGTAGCCTGCCAATCCAAGGAAACTACGAATTTCCTTGACATTCTTTGGTCTCTCCCATTCGGTAATGGCCTCTATCTTCTTATTATCAACAACAATTCCCGATCCCGAAACCACATGCCCGAGAAAGCCAATTTCCTTTAGCCAAAATTCACATTTAGAAAATTTGGCATAAAGTTGCTTCTCCCGTAGTGTCTCAAGAACAAGTATCAAGTGCTCCTTGTGCTCTTCTTCACTCTTTGAGTAAATCAAGATGTCATCTATGAACACAATCACGAATCGATCCAAGTATTTATGGAATACTCGGTTCATCAAGTCCATGAATGCCGCTGGGGCGTTTGTTAACCCAAACGACATAACAAGGAACTCAAAATGCCCATACCTTGTGTGGAAAGCACTCTTTGGTATGTCGTCTTCCTTAATCTTCAATTGATGGTACCCCAACCTCAAGTCAATCTTCGAAAACACGGTTTCTCCTCGTAGTTGATCAAACAAGTCATCAATCCTAGGCAAAGGATACCTATTCTTGATTGTGACCTTGTTCAATTGACGATAGTCAATGCACATTCGAAGTGTCCCATCTTTCTTTTTCACAAAAAGAACCGGTGCTCCCCACGGGGAGTGGCTTGGTCTAATGAAGCCATTATCCAAAAGCTCTTGCAATTGGGTTTTCAACTCGTTAAGTTCAGCGGGTGCCATACGGTATGGCGGTATGGAGATTGGTTTGGTGCCGGGCTCGACCTCGATCACAAATTCAATCTCCCTATCAGGTGGAAGCCCCGGCAGGTCCTTTGGGAAGACATCCGGGTACTTACAAACCACCCTCACGTCGTCGATGTTTGTTTCCTCCTTGGTCTTGTCAACCACGTATGCTAGATAAGCGTGGCATCCCTTTCTCATCATACTTCTCGCTCTCACAGCGGATATGATACAGCTGTTTGATTTGCCTCGGTCCCACTCGAAGCGTAGGGTATCCCCATCATTGCCTTCGAGTTCCAAGACCTTTGTGTAGCAATCTACCCTAGCATGATGCTTTTCTAGCCAATCCATCCCTAGGATTGCATCGAACTCCATCATACTCAGCGGTACGAAATCACACGTCAAGGTTTGGCCACCGATTTCCACCATACAAGATGGATAGTACTTGGTTCTTTCAACGTCTTCCCCTAGTGGTGTTGATACCACTAAAGTTTGTGTCATTGGTATTGATTGTATCTCTAAGCCCTCGGCGAACGCCTCACTTACGAATGAACGTTGCGCTCCGGTATCGATAAGGATTCGCGCATGCTTCCCATTAATCTTTAGTGTTCCTACATTTATAAGTCATGTGAGATACCTTTTCTAATGTTTTTACACATCATTAGGAGGTTATTAGGTTCATACTAATGTTTGGAATCAATCGGGGGTCCAAACGTAGAAGAACGGAGCGAAAAATGAGTTTTCGGTTGCCGGGGGTCCACGCACGGCGTGCCTGGGTGGCACGCACGGCCATGTGTGCACAGGATGTGGATCGTTGCGCTTACCGCTACACTAAAAGCAATCGCTGATAGTGTAGCACGCCCTTCCCCCTTTTATAGAACAGGCAAAGCGCCACGCGGTCCGATTGCACCGGCAGGCTGGCAGATTGCTGACCGCAGACCCGCGGCAGGCCCAACAATCTCCCCCCCCCAGCACCTGCCAGCCTACAACTGAGCAGCATGCTGTTGCCGGGGGTCGAACCCGTGACCTTTGGCTCTGATACCAATTGTGGATCGTTGCGCTTACCGCTACACTAAAAGCAATCGCTGATAGTGTAGCACGCCCTTCCCCCTTTTATAGAACAGGCAAAGCGCCACGCGGTCCGATTGCACCGGCAGGCTGGTAGATTGCTGACCGTAGACCCGCGGCAGGCCCAACACAGGAGTCTCCCTGCCAGCCACTGCCTCCCAGGCACGGTGCCACGCACGGCGTGCCTGCGGCCGTGCCTGGCCGAATTTCCTCGAAGAGGCCACTGCCTCCCAGGCACGGTGCCACGCACGGCGTGCCTGCGGCCGTGCCTGGCCGGAACTCCTCAGCGAGGCCACTGCCTCCCAGGCACGGTGCCACGCACGGCGTGCCTGCGGGCGTGCCTGGCCGGCAGTGGCTGTTTCCAGCCTGATTTGGCCTAACTCACCCGGTTTGGCCCCGGGGTGGCCCGCACTCAATCCCAACGACGTACATGATCAAAGTAAGCCTAAAAATGCCCAAAATAAGTGTATTACCTACGACGGAGTCGGGATTAGCCCGAGCATCTGCCTCAGTCATTGCGTACACTCTCGCTTGAGTTCTTCCTTGGTTCACGGAGGGTGCGTTGCTTGTACTTGCCCCGCCGTGGCCCGCGCTTGCATTTGGTGCCCCACCCCGGTTTTTACTCACCGTGGTTGCACTGCTTGGTCCTGATGACTGGTTCCCACCAAGTTGAGGGCAATTGGGCTTTATGTGCCCCGTATCTCTGCATTGGTAGCACCGTGGGGGATCACGACATTTGCCCTCGTGATTTCTCTTGCAATTCTTGCACTTAGGCTTCGTCGAGGCTTGTAACCCCGAGTTTTGCCCACCCATGTTGGGATTCCCCCTTGATGGTGGTGCGGGTGCCCTGAAGGATCCTCCTCCCCCGTGATTCCCCTTCTTGTTTGAACCCTGGGGGCCATGGTTCTCCCATTTTCTTTTCTTTGCCTCCTCGGCATTTCTTCGCTTCCTCTCTTCCCACTCCTTCTCTCCCTTCAAACCTTGTTCCACCACTTGACTAAATGTCATATTAGGCAATTGTGTTGCCCTCTCACGTATGTCAAGGTCCAAGGCATCCCAGAAATGGTTCACCATCCGATTTTCATCACAAATGTACTCCGGTATGAACTCGGCAAGCTTTCTGAATTTGTGCTCAAGTTCCTTCACCGTGCATTCCCCTCCTTGGGTCAAATTCGTGTACTCCCTCCTCTTCAAGTTCACCTCGAAGTCGGAGTAGTATTGGCTAAAGAATTCTTGCCTGAAGTTCTCCCAAGTGACCGCCTCACCATACTTCCCCTTGACACCGTCCCACCATGTGGACGCCATTCCTTCTAGCAATTTTGTTGCCACTCTCATCTTCATATGGGGTGGCAGCTGCATATCAAGGGCCGCTTCATTGAATCTTTTGTTCCATTCGGCTGCCACGGAGATGTCTCCCATTCCATCAAATGATTTGCATCCCAACTCTCTCGCCTCTTTGAGGTATTTCGAGATTCTTATGATAGGAACCTCGACACCTCTTCCTCCTCGAGACTCCTCATGTTCCCTAGAGCTGACACGGCTCCCTCTTCTCGAAGCCCCTCCCGAAGCACGCCTTGCCCGGCGCCTTTGGCGATCTTTTTTCGTATTGCCGAAGCAATTCCTCAATCCGCTCGAGGGCGTCATTATCATTGCTCTCTTCGCTAACGTCATCATCCTCCCCATCATATGGGGTTTCAACCGGCTCAGTTCCCGGTCGGTAAGTTGAATCCTCCTCGGACTCATAATGCTCGTCAATCGTCTCAACATGGCCGTCACTCACGGTCAGCGAGTGGCCTGCACGGCCTTGTCCCCTGGATGCCCTCGATGCCCCCCGACTGCCACGTTGGGACCCTCCCGGTGCCTGGCCAGTCGGGTTCCGTCGAGTAACTTTCCCGGTACGTTCCATTTCTGAAAGAAATTGAGAATGAGCCATTAGACTCGTATCAATGTCAAGTGACGGATAGGCACTTAAAGACATCCTTCGGCTCAAATCACCGTCATACCAATTGTTAAGGGTACCATCTTAACAATTAGAGACTTTGCAACTCAAGTACCAAAAGTTCTATAAGTGCAAAACTTTTATGCTCATGGTTTTCAAAATCATTTTCAAAAGGGATTTTGAAGCTTCATTATGAAGTTTACGGACTAAGGCTCTGATACCAATTAAATTGTCACGCCCCGGACCTACCCGGACACGTCAACAATCCGCCGTACAGTACGAATGGTCAACCGCAGTCCAACACATTCATACTATACAAGGCGTCTGGGATATCATTCACACATAGTACATCCATAAACAAACATAATATAAAATATTCATTCAAAGCAGCAGAAACGTTTAATACAAGTGTTCAAGCCACACTTGGCGTAACATGGGCATACAAGCCATCAATAATTATTCAAAAGATAACATCCATGAGCATTAATTTAAATGAGTTTAAAACAGGAACGGAGGGAGCACGAACCACGTCTTCTTCTCCTGAATTCTCTTGGAGCAACGGCGAGGGTGGCAACCTTCAAGTTCTACCTGAAACTGTGAGGTGGCCTCCCCCGTGAAGGGGAGGTCAGTACTTGGAAGCATCTGACGAGTACAATGACAACTATACTAAGTATAATCAAAGTTTCAATTTCCAAGACCCTCAATCTAGGATGTTATTATATTATAGGTCATAACCCGTGGTTACCCTCTTTGAAAGTATACTTACTTTATATATAAAGTCAAGTAGTCGCCCGAAGGCCCATGTTTACTTTGAAAACATTTAACCCTTTCCCCGTGACTTCAAGCCACACCCATCTATATTAGTTTACCATGCTAGAGGCTTCCTCTAGTCATGTTTTGTCGTGCTAGAGGCTTACTCTAGTCACTCCACTTGGTGTTAGAGGCTTCCTCTAATCACCTTACATACGTTGTGCTGGAGGCTTCCTCCAGTCACATTACGTTACGCTAGAGGCTTCCTCTAGTCGTCCTACACGAACGCTGGAGGCTTCCTCCAGTCATTCTTCATCGTGCTAGAGGCTTCCTCTAGTCACGATACTAGTTCACTAAGCAAGTTCTATGCCTAGAGTTCCTCTATTATGAGTAGCCTTTGAGGCCTACTCCTACGGTAACTTAGCGTTTACCCATTTCTACCTTAAGACATCTCATAAGACTACTTAAGGTGTACCTCTCTCACAATCCAAGCCCTTAGGATTTGTTCTATCACTCTTCATACTAACATTTCCGACTAGTAAAATCAATACTAATCCATTTGTCTTTAAGCCACCAAGCTCTTTAATTCATAGTTATAAGGCTCATTCCCATTAATTTCCCAATCTATATATGATTTAATCTCAATATAAAAAATATCACTTTTATCCATTCATGATTTCTATACATGAAGTAAAAGTATATTTCATCACAAAAATTTCATGATTTATACATTCATCATATCATCATTCTTACAATGCATAACTATACACCATTTACTCATAAATTTGTATATTATGCATCTTCTATTAATAAACAACAATATTTTCATTAGGCATTATTAATCATTAATGATCCATGAAAATCACATTTAATTATCTTAGGTAATCTTATGAAATTAACCCAAGGATTATAAGCAATATAGTCGGTCATCCTCACCTCAATTGAGCTTTAAACTATCCCTTCTTGGTCCAATGGTCAAGACTTTGGTCAAGGTGGATTTGGAACTGATTCCTTGATCAAATATGGGTGTTAAACAGCCTCTTCAAAGCGCTAGCTCAACCCCTAAACGTTGGTACGAAAACAGCCCCTAGAATGGGTGTTTTCCGGTGAACACGTTTCCTAGTTTTTCCATGATTTGCTCTAGGTTAGTACATAACCTTTACATCAATAAATTAAATCTATAAGGACATATTATACACTTGGATTGGTGTACAATAGCTGCATCAATCGTTCATATCATTTGGAAAAAGAAAGGAAAGGTTTTGGGGTTAACAACTCACTTTAGAAGAGTAGATCCGTTTCTGCGAGGTTGTGTTTTGCTCGGACGATTTGGAAGCCTTCCACTACTTCGATTGATGCAAACCAGACCTTCACGGATTCCTCGTCTTGAGAGATTTCTTGTGGTATCTCACACGCCTTAATTGAATTGGTATAGCTCGAGATATCAACCCAACAGTCTCAGCACTCTCACAGCTCGAGTTTACAGACCACAGCTCACTCCAGCTCGATTTTTTGTATGATAACTCTATCCTCTCGAACAGAGACCACTCAAATATAAAAATAGACTTCAAATTCTATCCAAGGAAACCTCATTCACCTTATTTGGTCAAGTATATCTCCCATAATGAGTGGAGACAAACAGCACACCAATTTGTGCGAAAACTGCTCATGGTGGCCCTAAGTTGATGGTAATCATGTCTTGTGAAGCTTCTCTCCAAGCTGGCCGGCCAAGGTAAGTCCTCTCACCCATTTTTATTTGTCTTGCAGGTACTAATACCATGTGGAGTGTTTCCCAATTGATCCCAATCATTTTGGGATCCAAATTATCTACCAATACTTCCAAAAATGGGAGGATGGGTCCTATTGTTTATCTTTTGTCAAAGATGTCTTTTTGTACTCATCCTAATTTATTTAGAACAAGTCAACTTCCTACATCACATTATTGATCTCCAATATGTGTAGGTTTATCACAATAATTTACTTAATGGATATTATAGAAGAAAAATCCTACTCCCATTATTTAACTCAATAATGTTAAAGATGGGACTATAGGCATCTGTATTCTTCTCTAAACGTCCTATCACTTATTTACGATAATGTTGGGCTCTTTTATTTACTAATAAGTCACAAATAGTATTTGCATGTCCGACACTAATATACGAGTTCGAACAGTACAATATTCGATCATTAATTACGTAAAACATTAATCGTTTTACAATTGTTTGGGAATCAGAAATTCAATACATAAACTTTGAATATTTAGATCAAATTTTCAAGGACGTTCGGGTGCGGTGTCACAGTCATCCTCTCGCTATTGTTGTCTATGCTTCTTGTTCGCACCAAAAAACTCGTCGCAGGGGAAAACCCCAAATCGAAGGGCCGCCCAATCGAAATAGATCGGCGAAAAAGCTAAAATGAGTGAGAAACGGCCGCTTTTGACTAAGTTTATTTAAAAGTTTATTTTATTGAATAATTAATCTAATTATGTTAATAAATAAATCTATAGAGTAGTACAAATAAAAACGGAGTATAAAAAAGACATGACTATGAACAGCTCATCTCGTTCAAATAAAAACACTAATATATCAGCAATGCTTCGTGTACACGCCATTTGTACATGTTATTTTACACGATAGTCAAATTGTTTTGAGAAGAAACCGTTGTTTGTACAGACAAAAAAATAGTCTATGTCGTGTAAAATGACATGTACAAATAGCATTAGTGTTTATATATTACAAGACCAATGAGTTTAAGATATATTAAACACACATGTGTGTATTTGTAATATAATATGTAAAATATATGTGTATACTTATATATTGAGCAGGTCGGGACGGGGTTCATCAATACTAAACCAGGGCAAATTCTTGCGGGCCAGTTTTTTTAACATGCACACTACATAGAATACAATTAATTATAGATACTAGATAGGGACACCTGACGATATCAATGCCTAAAAATGATTACAATGCCTTAGGGTTGGTTTGCAACTCCTTTTAAAAAGCACTTCTCAGATTTTGGCTTTAGAAAAGAACTTATTTTCCCAAACACTACAACTTTTATTTTTCTCGGCTTCCGCGTCAAAAGTGCTTTTATTTTTTCTATTACACAAAAACACTTATTTTACCAAACACTACCCACTTTTACTTTTCAAAATCACTTTTTTCTCAAACACTATCAACTTTTATATAATCATTTTTCTTCATTTCATTAAAAAAACACTTTTTTAAAAGCAGAAGCTGTTGAAAACAGACCCTTAGAGACCAACAGAGATGAAATTTGCTATAGGTACCCCATAGTTACCTCATTTCCTCCCCCATATAAATACTCTCCTTTTTACCATCCCTTTTACCCCTTTCCAAAACCCTCTCCCCCTCTCCCACTTTTCTTCTCCTTCCCTCCCTCTCTCCTCCATCTTTTCATTTCACGCAGCCCCCCATCCCCTACCCTTTCTTTCTCTTTTCTCCAAATCTTGATTTCTTCTCCATTTCAAGATCTCACCCCATCAAGCCTTCTCATTTTTACAATCTTTTCTCCCTCCAAGCTTCTTCTCTTGCGTCTCTCCTCTTCTGCCTTTTTTTTTCGTTTCAAATGGAAGAGCTATAGTAATCGGACGAAGGGGAGAGCTCGGTGACGTGGGGAGACAACGACGAAAGTGCAGATCAAGAAGCTTTGAATGACTTGAGCATATCTACTTTTCTTGATTTTTTCATTTTTTGGTGTGTTTTCGAAAAAAAAGGCTGTTTTCCCTGACAGGCAACTTGTAAGTGCATTGTCTGTATTTGTTAGTCTAGGAGAAGAGTATGTTGTTTTTCATCATTTGTTTGTATTTTGTTTGGTGGATAGACAATTTGGAACTGCAGTGTCTGTCTAGCATAAAGTGAACGTGGTTTCATAGTTGCTTGAAGTGAACGTGATTTTATAGTTGTTAGAGTCGTACATAAAATGTGTGTGTGGTCAGACAACTTTAAATGTATGTGATTTTGTTTGGAAACATGGTTGTATTGGTAATGTAGTTTTGATATAAATGTGTGTGCCTTTTTTGAAACATGGTTGTATCGGTAATGTGAAGACAAATGTGGTGAATGAATTACATATGTAGTCTTTACAAGGAGAAGAGTAGGGTTTCCTGTTAGAATAAGGACTACTCTCTGTCTTACAGCCAGGCAAATTTTGTCTTGGCCAGACATTAGTAGTCTGGGACAATTAACTACTCTCTGTCCTACAGCCAGACAAATTTTGTCTTGACCAGACATTAGTAGTCTGGGCCAATTAAGTACTCTTTGTCGTATAGCCAAACAAATTTTGTCTTGACCAGACATTAGTAATCTGGGTCACATTCTCCCGACTTGTAGACAGACAACTCAGAAGAAAGGCTAGACATTTTATATCTCATTACAGACAATTTGTTGCAATACATTGGTAGAGAAGTCAATTCCCATGACAGAAAACTACAACCCAATTTTAATGAATTCTAAACGACGTGCAAGACAATTCAAATGGGTTGCCTGAGAACTAATTTTACTTGACAGACAACTACAAAACTATTTTCTACAATTTAAAATAAACTGACAAACAATTCAAATGTCTTGCCACACAACTACTTTCACATGACAGACAACTACAAACCAATTTTAAACAATTGGATTTAGCGTACAAGACAACTAATATGTCTTGCCAGACAACTACTTTCACATGACAGACAACTATAAACCAATTTTAAACAATTCAAAATAAATTGACAGACAACTCCAAACCAATTACATAATATTCAAAATACCATGACAGACATCTCAATATCATCACTGAGTAGTCTAAATATACACAAGTACTTCATAATTTCACCAGACAGACAACTATTTTCACATTACAGACAAATCAAATGGAATGCCAGACAACTCTTTTCACTAGAATTTGAAGCTAACAGATCTGGACCAAAGCTAACAGATCCGAACCATCACAAGTATGTTTCAAAGTTATGGTCGCTGGAATTTGAAGGTTTTGAACTGAAATACAGGTTGGTGGAGAAGGTGTGGAAGGTTTTTAAATCTGGCCGGCACTTAAATTACTGGGACAACGGTCAGGTGTCGCCGGAGAAGATGACCGGCTTGCCGGGCATCAGTTCCGCCTACCGTTACATAGTCTGGCTACTGTTAGATCTCCGCTCCTGCTACCTTGCCGTTTCCGCGGGGGTCGCCGGGGCCTGACGCCTGACGGGGGTTTGGGTGGTGTCCGGCTGGGTTTTCTGACCTCCCACCGGAGCTGCTTGGGTGTTCGCCAGAACCAAGCAGGGGGGGCTTAATTGAGGGAAATGAAAGGGAGATGAAAGGGAGAGAGGCTGGCTGGAAAAGACGGAGATGAAAGGGAGATAAGGGGGAAGGAAGATGAGGGAGTGGGGGTAAATTTTTGGGAGGGTATTTATATGGGGTAGAAAGATGAGGGAGTGGGGGTAAATTTTTGGGAGGGTATTTATATGGGGTAGGAAATTACATCGTACAACCAGCTGTACGGTGAGCACCGTACAGCCGGGTATTTTTGAAATTAAATTCAACTTGCAGGGTTAAGATCGAAGACCTTCGTATCCTCTGTACGCAGGCTTGAGTCCTCGTGTCGCTCGTCCCAGGCTTCTCCGGCCATCGCTGCTACCTGCTAGATCCCCGGCGGCCACCTCTCCCTGCTAGACCTTCGGAGTTTTGGGATTGAGTCAATCGATGACTATGGCTTTGGGGTTGAAACAGATAAGGAGATAGGGATTTGGGGTCCCTAATTTAGTTGCCTCCTTTGCAATGGAAATTGCAGATAGACATCAGATGAAGAAATTGCTAGGACGATTGTTAGTCATGGTTTACTTTGTTTAAGTACGATAAATAACAAGCTCCAGACCAGTGTTTGTTTCGACATCCGATGAAGGCCTACTGAGTTCATATTTCTTGTTGACGAATCTGGAATGAGTTTATATTAAACACAAATGAGTATAAGCTTAAAAAGAATGAACATACACAAATGAATATCGAGCATATTAAAAATGAGTTTCACGTAAAACTCCAATGAGTATACAACCGAAAATGAATGAGCATACACAAATGATCTTTTGAATTTTTATACTCATTTTGTGAATTATGTATGCTCATTTGGTACCTCTTTATACTCATTTCAAACGTACCATACTAATGTTAAACTCAAATGAGTATAAGGCCAAAATGAATGAGCATACACAAATAGACTTTTAATTTTTTTGATACTCATCTTGTAAGTTACATATGCTCATTTGGTGTTATTTTATGCTCATTTAAAAAGAACAGACTCGATGCTCACAATCGCATAATGAAAATCATTGGTCATACTTTTCAAGTTGATGCTCAATAAAAATGTCTTGATGTTCAATTAAAAATACTTATGATTTTCATATCAATTCTCATTTTATAAGTTATGTATGCTCAACGGGTATTCATGTTATGCTCATTTGTAATATGACATACCAATGTATATTTCCAAAGTATCATATTGCATTAAATTCACATACTGGAGTTCATAAGAGTTGATTATAGATATAATTTAGTAAGTTTTTATAAAGAAAGAAATAAGGAAAAGAAAGTAAATTCGAAGAGATGAAGCAGAGATCATGATGTTCAATGTTATGCTTCTAATGCTCAACAAAATATGTCACTTGCTCACTATGTGTGGTTTAATACTCATTTAATACGAGACGCGAATTTCAAATAAATTACAAAAATGCCACCGGCTGTACGGTGAGCACCGTACAACCGGTGGTACCATATACGCTTCCATGAGGTACCTATAGATTAGTGTTATTGTAGGCGATGTACTTGGCAGTTCTATTCGCACCCGGGGATTTGCAAAGCTACATTGCTAAAGGGTAGATGAAGATACTGCTGCCACAAACTATATTGATCACCAGTCAACCAATTTTGAAGGCACTCCTTGATGTCTTTCTTTATACTTTTGACAAGAGAAAATTAGATTGTGAATATATTATATCATTATTAACCTCATTGTTTAATATTGATGCTTGTACGCATCAATTTTTATCAAACAATTAGCTTGATAAATTAGATGAACTATTTAATACTAATCAGTACAAACCATACACCCGGCCAAAATAAGTCTTACCAAATATGTTTATATTTTAAGTTCAAAGATCAAGTAAAAAGAAATATACAGAGTATATGTTGGGTGTGTTTCGGAAAATAAAGAAAATTAATTAAAATAAATTAATTAATTAAAATGACGAAAGAAAAACAAGAAAAGAGATGGAGCAGAATTTGTCAAAGCTCGTGCTACGCACGATGTCCTTAAAACGTATTTGTTGCCTCCCACGGTGCTAGGAGCGTTGCAACAATAGTTTCCCAGGATACGATGACAACGAACTAGTGTTTGAGCACTCAAACAAAAGTTCCAGCGAACGAGAACAAAGACTGAACACAAAAGGAAATTTTCGGAATGCTAGCAGTGTGTTTTTGAGGTGCAAAACGTGAATGGAGTGTCCAAATTCGTGTGTGAGAACTTGTCTTGTTGCAAACCACCTGCCAGCCTTTATATAGGAGGATTTGTTGTATGAAAATAGTGAATTAATGGACCTGAACGTTAGACATCAATGACCAGTCCGTTGGGCATTGAATCGTCCATGAACTGTCCATTTAACGCTGCATTAAAAGATATATACGTTGGGCATTAATTGTTGTAACGTTTCAGAAGCGCGACAGAAGACCTCCATCAGAACACCCCGGGAGGGTTTCTGATCGGAGGCCAATCAGAAGACCCCAACTCTGATCCGCGGCCATCAGAATACCCCATCTCTGATGGGCGGCCATCAGAATACCCCATGAGGGGTTCTGCCATCAGAACACCAACGAGGTGTTCTGATCCGTAGGCTTCTGTCCGAGCACTTCTGCCGCTGGGAAAAAATTAAAACGTTTCGGGAAGAAAACAAAAATTAATCGTATCTCTTGAGAAATAGATTTTTGGACGACATTCGTGTCCGCAGGTCGCCCGCGCACGCAAGTCGCGGTTTTTCTTCTCCGAATTCGGGATTTGATTTGCACACCCCCCCCCCCCCCCTGCGCGCGTGGAGAGAGCCTTTACCCTTAAGAATCTTAACTCCATAAGGGGGGAGTCCCTTTATAAAGGGTAGCAAATCCCTTAGGTTTTCCGGTGTGGGAAATTAACACACTAGAAACCCATCCTTTTTCCCTTCTATCGGGTAAACTTCGAAAAGCGATTTCTCATTCACCCGTTATCCGTTTTGAGCGTACCATATATCGAATTGTAGCCCTTAACAAGGACAATCCGAAACCACTTTGACCCGACCCAAATCGGAAGTGGACCTCACTCAAAAAATTGCCCCAAAATAGCCATTTAATGCAATTTTTCACACATTTTTCCAACAGTATATGTTTGGTTAATGTCATAAAATACATGTTATGATTTAACAAAAATGCTTAAGGTACACAAAATGTGTACACTTTTTATGCACACCCCGCTAGTTACATGTGTATACAAACAATTCGTTAAGAAAGAGATAACATTTGTCTCCCAATTGCCTGTGTACACAGATGATGGTGCACAAAAAGTATACACTTTTTGTGTACACCAAACATAACCGATGATTTAAAGGTCTCTATGTGAGATAGTTGTCACATTCCCATTGATAGTCGCTGAAACGTGATGAGGCACCAATAATATAACATAGATAGTATATGTGACAGAGTGAAATAAACAATAAATTATTTGATTTATGTTCAATAAATTAGCTGAATGATCTCAAGTAGTGGCGGAGCCACAGATTTTTTGAAGCGGGGGCGTACCAAGACTAATATTTATGGCGTATTTTCTCAAAATATAATAAAAAGAATAAAAAATGTAATACATTAGCACAAATTAGTCATTACATTCTACTTGACTCATATCTATGATCTGGGTAAATCAATCGTGCGAGTTTTAATATGTTCAAAATTTTGCATAGAAAAACGAGTTCATCGGACTCTTGTACACTCATCTACACACTCAAAACTCAAAAGGTTCTCATAGAAATGACCAATCTCACCCCTATCTATACTAATCTCATCAAATCTTCTTTAGAATTTTTTACATCATTACACATCTACATTCTTCCAAAAAGTATTCACAACCTTCTCTAATCTAATAGAAGGATCTAGAGAACTCCACAATTCTTTAAAATGTTTTAAAGACTTCCACACTCTTCCGCACGGTTTTAGTGAGTTCCACACCTTTATAGAAAACTTACCAATATTATTCTAGAACATTCAATACTTCTCTACACGCATATAAAAAATCCTAGACATCTTTGAAAATTCTAAAATTCTCATGAATTTTTCCATTAAGGAGGGAATCCAACATAATCTCGAAAATGTTTTGATCATGTTGTTTCAAGAAATGTGACAACATGTTCGTTAATTCCAATACTCTTTTGGACTATAACCAAGAAAAGTGAACCTGTGTGGCATTAAAGGTCTAAAACAATCCACACTTGCATTCAAATGATGAGTGACGTACGCTGTAGTCAATAAATACTTGTATTCCTAGAGACACATTTCCTAAAAGATTTTGCCTTTTATTTTAATACTTAATCTAAAATTGTCTTTAATGAGTATTTATTCTTGAAAAAAAAGGGAACATTAAATATATTATAAGTAGTAGTACTAATATTTTTGGCCCGAAGCGGGGGCGCTTGCCCCTGTATGCCCCCGCCCAGCTCCTCCACTGATCTCAAATAAAAAGATAGTTGTCTATGTTCAAGAAATATCAAGAAAATCGTACTTCACAAACAAATCTTTTTAATTAACATCTTTGAGACACCAATAATATAATATATATGTAATATGTGACAGAATGAAATAAACGATAAATTATTTGTTTTTATATATCTATCATCTTAGAGGTTTTAAAATATAAAATATGGAGTATGAAATATGAAACATAAATTAAAATGATAAATATAAATTATGAAATATAAAAATATAAAATTTAAACATATATTATATAAAATAAGAAACTAAAAGACTAAAGTAGTTATACAATATTAAATATAAAATATTAAGTATAATGCATACAATAAAAAATATTGAAACAAATAAATTTAAAGTAAAAAGTACGGAGTGCATGATATACTCCGTACTTGGTAAAATTTAAATAAAAATGAAAAAAATCAAAATAGAGTATTAAATATAAAGCATCAAATTATGTTTTATATTTAGAGCTTTTTCCTAAAATATTACTAATAAAAAAGTCATGGACAAAAATGTGACTTAGTAACTATTAATGACTATAATTGTGTTCAAAATTTACATCATAGCAACTTTAAACACAATTATAATAACCATGTCACATTTTTGTCCACCACTTTTCAGAAGTAATGTTAGCGGAATTTTTTCTTATATTTACATTTTGAAGTTACAGTAAGATGTAAATATTTATATTTATAGTTATGGAGTATAATTATTTGTTTACATCTATATTATATTTGTTTATTTTTTATGTTTTTTATATTTTATATATTGAATTATTACAGTGGTGAATCATTTTTGTGATTGAGGAGTGAATTGAACCATCCAGGTAAGTTAGGGGACTTATTTGACCTTTAGATTTTTTCGTCAAATTTGCAATTGACACGTTATCGAGTATCTGGCGAGAAAACAAAAGTTTGCCTAAATTGGTATTTGAATCTTTTTAACGTGCTGGGGATGAAAGTTGAAAATCTTTTTAATTTAGGGATTGTATTGCACAATTGTGTTGAGCCAGATATATTATCTTTATCCCAGAGTGATCTGATTAATTATCTTTATTCCAGGTCTATTCTTGCTCCAACCATAGATGAGGTTGATAAGGTCAACGATTACATGTTGAGCCAGATAGATTCAAAGTTAAAGACATACCTAAGCTCAGATTCAACTTCTTCATCTCACTCAGATAGTAATGATCTCTTGCATGAGATACATTCTCATGAATTTCTTAATGGTATCAAATGTTTTGGCTTGCCGAGTCACGAGCTGAATCTGAAAGTTGGAGTTCCTGTGATGCTTATGAGGAATATAGATCATTCATCTGGATTGTGCAATGGCACACGGCTTCTGGTCACTAAACTTGGAGCTCATATTATTGAGGCTCAGATGATGTACGGAGAAAATACCGGTGAAAAGTTTCTTATTCCCCGCCTTACTTTGACACCATCGAACATTAGTCTCCCATTCACTTTTCAACACAGACAATTTCTGTTAATGGTTAGCTATGCTATGACCATTAATAAGAGCCAGGGACAGTCATTAGAAAAGGTTGGCTTCTTCCCCCCGTCGGTCTGTTTTTACGCATGGGCAGTTGTACGTGGCGATCTCGAGAGTAACAAGTCCGTCTGGATTTAAGTTTGTTATATGTGACGAAGAAGGGAAACCAACGAAGTCAGCGTAAAATGTAGTAGTCAAAGAAGTTTATACTAATTTATAGTTCCCTTGCTTTACATACATGCATACTCATTGCTACGTATATCACATCATGATTTGTACCCAACTTTGAGCATTATTTTTTAATTTCGTATTAAATATGAAACTTATATATTTTATTTCATGCTTTAATTTGATTATTTTGTTTTAGTTTTTAATTTTATGTTTTGAGTTAGGTTAATTGACTATGAAATCCTTTGAGTTTATGTATGATTTATCCAAACATCTTCACTCCCGTGCGTAGCCCGGGTGGAATTACTAGTTGCCTTAACTTCATCCCGTATTTCTTTTAAACATTGTTCTCCGCCATAGTTCCTTAATTTAACGGGTAGTGGTACCCACCACCTCGTTTTTTTCTAATATAATGTGTTAAAGAAACAACACAAATTAAATACACTTGCAATCCCTTTCAAAACAAAAAACACTTGCAATCAAACATTGTTCATAATCTCCTTCAGATTTGTCAAAATCATTTCAATTTTTCTATAATTTTCTAAACATGCAAGTATATTATATTAATTAATTATTACTAAAATATAAATTTCAATAGTATAATATTATTTTTTTGCAGTTTTATGCTTATCTGCATTTAACATCATTTGATACTCGGATACTAAGTCCATGGCTTGCTTCGATGCTCAAACCCAAACACCTTTTTGCTCAAACTCTTCCTCTGTTTATCAACTTGTTGTTGCTTGCCAAGTCTACCAATAACCCCGGAAATAACTCCACGAACTTGACAAACGTCTGAAGGGTGTCCTCGTTTTTCGAGCTTAAATACGATGTCTATGAATGCTAGCATTGTTTTGCGGACAGATTTCAGATGACAGTTCAGTTTTTGAGAGAAGAAGTTACTTTTCCGTTTTTGTATTATTTGTTCGCAGTCCTTTGTTTCGGTTATCGGTATTACCAGGTAAAATTTTGGGTCACTTTTGTTATGGGTTGTATCTGTTAATGGACTTTTAATTTAATTGGACCGGATGTACATACATCCGGGTGTAGCATATACGAACTGATGAGTATTGTGTGGTGGAGAATTGTACAGAGGAGAGACATGTGTAAGAATGCGTAAGAATAGTTGTGAACGACAAATTATTTACCAAAAGTGAAAAATGAAAGTTTATTTCGGGACACCCAATAAAAAAATTGGAAGTTCAATCAGGGACGGAGGGAGTAACAATTTCACATAATTATTTAATTATATATATTAGTAGAAAAATGTGGTCAAAACAAGATGTGTGCATAGTGCAAAATCACAATGTTGCAACTGTTAAGAAACAAAGAAAATAATAATTACATTATGATCTCATCTGCTTTGAATTGTTCTGATCTGATTTGAATCTTTCTGATATGATCTAAAAAAATTGGTTTGACCTGATCTGAATAAAATAAGAATGAGCAATAACAAACGAACAAAAACAGCACCTTAATTAAGAACAGAGTAAGTAGATCTTGATTTTAGCCTTGCCATTCAGCTAAAAATTTAATTGGGAAAGCAGTCAAATAATTGTTTAAACTTAACTGTGCCAAAATATGCATATAAAACACAGTTTTTTCCAACAATTTATTTGGTTGTCTTCCCAATTGAATTTTTTATTGAAATAATTTATGGATAAACTAGACTTGATGAGGAACATAATCAAAATATTTAATCAAAAAATTCCACCGGAAACCGCCCCAAACGGAGATGGCTGGGCGGTGTCCCCAACATGGATTTTAATGGAGTTTAGTTTTCCACTAAAATCCGGGTATCCTCAATATGGATTTCTAAAGAATCTATTAAAATCCAGGTATCCTCAAATATTCCATGAATTTATATGTTAATGGACTTTGAAAGATTTTGATGGAATTTTAAGCAAAAAAATTGAATAACTCAATCCACCAACAATCTGCCCTAACACCCACCGGATTTCCAAATCCGCGTACAAACCCTACGCTCTCAGTATCACTCGCTATAAAGCAGACCAATAGGCTTTTGTGTTCTTTCATCTTCCAGGCTATCTCGTTCCTCCTTCATCTGTGTTCTCGATACGAACCTATATACCAAACAGAGATGGTAGCAGACGGAACCCATACTCACAAAGTATTATTGTTCTCAACACCCATCCTTCCAGATCTTTTTATTTTTGTAATCGTATTACAACTTTGCTTGGTAGGTACAAGCTTAATGATTAGTGATTATTAAGTATAAGTGGGTCATTCAATTTTGTTTGGTGCCCTCCTACCAGCTTCGTTTTGTATTAGAAGGCTTTTGTAAAACGATGAGGATGAGTAGCTTATCATTATTTACTATGCAATACTCCGTATATGTTTTCAATTCTTTGGATTAAATAATTAAAATATATATCTTCAAAAAAATTAAAAAATATCATCTGAAACTTTAAGAATGATATGATTTTGATCAGGTACCCGAACATATTGTTGAAGCATTTGTCCCACACCGGAAAGTTATAAAACAATTAAACACTATATAAGGCTTTGGGCTACTCCTCCTATCAGGTTGACCTTTTAGGATGGAATCACAGGTCTTAACATGGTATCAGAGCCAATTCCGGTCGTGGTTTGACGACTTGTTTAGCACCCATGATTAAGGGTAGCTTGTTAAGGGTTTGTTTGGCCCGTTTATACACCCTGATATTGTCCAGCCCGGTTCGGGCTGAGGGGGCGTGTTGAAGCATTTGTCCCACGCCGGAAAGTTATAAAACAATTAAACACTATATAAGGCTTTGGGCTACTCCTCCTATTAGGTTGACCTTTTAGGATGGAATCACAGGTCTTAACACATATGCTAACTCTTTAAATACATGCCACATAGTAAAGATATGGCAGTGAATTATAGTGAAGAGAAATCACACGAGAAATGAGAAAAAATGGATACAATGGGGTGAATTGTGTGATAATAAGAAAAAAAACTCTAAATATCAGCTGCAAAATGTTGTGTCCAGAGAAATATTCCGTTCCAAATTAAAACATTTTGTATTGAGTCGTATTCTAATTTAGGGACCTCTACTTTACTATTTTTTTTACGGTAGCTACTTTTACTTTATAGTCTACTTCACTATATTGAATTTGTTTTATATTTGGTCATGTTTTGTGTTGCATTATATAGGTTCGCATTAACCGACTTTATAAAACGATTTACAAATATTTATCACTTTTATTACAGTTTTATTATATAAACTGTTATAATTATTTTGGAAATATCTCACACAGTGCATCACACGGGTGGTATACTCGTTCATTTAAAATCTATAGCAGGGGCGGCTATGGGGGGAGTTACCCTAGGCAAGGTGCCTAGGGCCTCCACCTTTAAAGGGGCCTCATTTTTATTAATGTTTTTATAAATATAATAATATTAATAAATAAATAAATAAATAATAAAATAAAAAATAAATAAATAGTAATGACATAATATTGTATTCAAACTAATTGTATTTAAACTAAGTGATTTATAATGCTAAAATTTTTATAGACATGTGAAAAGTTCTACTGATTAATTTATGTTCTTATGTAGTATATTATTAAATTTATCTTAAGTTATGCTAAAAAATTTAGAGATTTTACTTTTATATTTTTCTTAAATAATACTGTATTCTTTCCTTTCTATTCAGACAAATTTGATTTTGCAAGTCAATGATGTTAAACTTTGACCAATTATATAATTTTTGGTTGTATTGATAATATGAAAATGATATGAAGATGTCCTTTATTAAAAATACTATCATAAAAGTATAGATTTATTAGGTTATGTGAAATTTATTTATACATTTTACACTATGAAATTAATTTTAACATTGAAACATTTGTTTTGAAAGTAATTTTTTTTTTTGAATTGATAGAATATGTAATAACATTTATACAATTATTTTGTTTATTGTTTTTATTTATAGAATTTTCGCAATGCTCTTTTGCCTAGCCGTCTAGGGCCTCGAATTTTCTGAGGCCACCTATGATCTATAGAATCTGCAATCCTTTAAAATTCTTTAAAATATGTGTTGAGGACACCCCTAGGAGCATTCTGTCCCTCCGGCTAGGCAGGATCTTTTTAATATCCATGTTAATATCCATATTTTTGTATTACAATATTAAAAATTACTCAGTAATTTATAATAATATTATTAGTTATATGAAACTAAAAGGATAAGATTGATACAATCACAAGCCTTATGAACTTAAACAACTTATTGCGTGGCCGTGATCTGATTTTAGAAAACGGGACGAAGTAGAAAAAAGAAAAAGGTTATACCATAAAATAATTAAAACACATAAAAGAAAAAGGATGGGGAAAAACCAAAATAGAAATAAACTAAAGTCTAAATACGTTTTATGTTTATTAGATTAGAGTGATGTTCTCATACTTCCATATGGTCCATTCTTGGTGTCCACAAGATATACACAAAATGTGTACATTACCTGTGTACACAGATAATTTGACATCAAATCTTGCCCCTATTTAAACGAATTGTCTGTGCATACAAACAACTAGGGGATTTTGTATACAATTTGTGTACAACTTGTGTACACTAAGAATTTTCCACTTCCGTAATGATAACATCAAAGTATTAAAGAAGTCGAGGATAGCAAACGGTGTTAGTTATTACGTTAGTGGGTGG